TAGATGAGGCAGACACCTCGCAGCAGTTAGCTGGTGGCCTGGGGAAATGAGCCAGGGTTTCCCTCTGAGAGGAGCTGAGGAGGGTCCGTGACAGGGAAGCATTCATTGCAGTCAGCAGGTTCGTTGGCAGTGGAGGCCCATGGGCTGAAGATTGAATTGCCTCTAAGGCAAGTCCTGACTCGTTTCTCATCTTAAAGAATGGCCGGGCATCCCAGCAGAATGAGACGCAGTTCAGTGTGGCTGTGTCTCTGTGAGTAAAATACCAACATGATTTAGCCTTCAGCTTGCCCTGCTCCCATCCATTCTCTTCACTGCAACCGAGTGATATTTTAAAAACAGAAATTGGATCGTGTCACTCACTGCCCTGATTAAAGTCCAGACTCCTTCACATGACTTACCCGGCCCAGCAGGATCCAGCTCCAGCTTATCTTCCTGGTTCTTTTTAAGTAGGCCAAACTCCTTCCCTCTAATTTTTCTCAAACATTCTTCTCTGTCAGGTATGTTATTCCTCTCCCCTTTACCTCTTTCACTTCCATTTCAGGTCTCAAATGGAGCATCCTTTCCATTGAGAATCTTTCTCTGACCCTAAAAGAGTAGGTCAAATCCCCCTGGTGAAAAGTCTTAACTTCTCAATAGAACTTAGCAAGTTTTGCTCAGTGCTTTACCAGGCTGTGAGGTCCATGATGGCATTTTGTTCATCACTCTTCTGTGGGGTTTAGTAGAGGGCTAATTAATGTTCATGCTCAGTCATAAAGCCAGGCTTAACTTTGAAAAGGAGCAGCTAGTACTGTTGCATTATGTACCCAGAAGGAGGAAAACTGGTATTTGATGAATAACATTAATGCCAGCAACCCCCTTCAATACCTGACTTCTCTTGGTGTTCCCCAACCCTCACAGTGATCTGTTCTTCCAGGCTTCAATAGTCATGTGAAAGACCTTGTAATCAACAATAAGTAAATTTCCTCCAAAATCTTAATGCCAAGCATGCTACTCTATGGCTCCATTTCCCAGTTTTCCAGCTCACGCACTCTAGTACCCTCACTGTGATAATTCCTTGCCTCCATCAGGATCCCTGCTGATATTTGGTTCCCCAGGAAGCATCCCATGAAATGGAAAGTGACATACAAGGCAGTTTACCAGGGAGTGCTATAGGGATGCACACCTGTGAAAGACAGGAGATGGGAAGGGTAGAGGGGTGAGTTAGCTCAATCTATTGAGTACTCTGAACCTGGGGCAGTCTTTAGAATTATTCATCCTTGAGATAAAGGAGAACCAGTCTTAATTGTAGTTTACCCTCAGGATGGGACTGTGACTGTGGGTGAGTTATATCTCTTTAACCAAGGACAATTTTTTTTTGAAAGGCTAACAGCTGAAGATCACAGGAGACTGTTCTTTAGTTCTGTGGAGATACCTAGGCAGTGCAACACAGAGTCTGCCATAATGTCCAGTCCATTTCAACTTTTTTCCTCCTTCTTCATGCCTTAACTTCCCCCCTTAATAGCTGAGGTTCCTTGGCACCTCATTCTCATCACCTCTTTTCTTATACACTCAATTCCCTTGTATCTCTTTTTACTCATCTTATTTGCCTAAAACCGTATCTCTGGCTATAACCTTCCAATTGCCCTGCACTTGTCCTAACTATCTGAATGAGACTGGTGAAAACATGTAACCCTGCTGAATGCTCTCGCTTAACATTTATGACCAAAAATCACAAGTAGCTCCTTAGCCATCCTATTACACACCCTCGTAAATTCTCCTTTCCTCATCCTGGAATGACTCTTTAATGACCTTCTCCCTTTTCATTAAACATACAGTACCTCCTCTCCTTCTCCCAATTCTCAGATGTCACCCCCTCTTTTCATTTCACTGAGAAAATAAAAACAAGCAAAGAAGAACTACTTCATTCCCTACAACCAAATATGCCTCTTCCCTTAGTACTTGCCTTCAAACTTGTAAAGATGACTTGCTCCATTTGTGCACTGGAGATCAACTCCTCCTGCCTTGTCTAGAACTTGGCTCCTGCAATGATCTCTCTCTGCTACATCACCATTTTTCTTCACTCATCCTAATATATAAAAAGCCAGGGGCTGTCACGACTTAAATGACCGGACGGACAACCGAACAGCAGGCTGGTGGTGGGAGTCAGTCTGGGTCCTGGCCGGCACGGCAGTGGGAGGGAGCTCTGGGCCCCAGCCGGGGCACGGTGGTGAGAGGGAACTATTATTGTAACGGATCTATTATTAAAGCTACCTTTGGAAATACTATATCTATAGATAATATTAAAAATATATCTAAATGTGCAATTCTCTGTCCAAAAAAATGAGCATGTTCAAAAATTAAATGAAGAAACTTTGGATATACTCGATGGAGATTTTCACACATATTCGAGTGATGATTCCATTGATTCAATAGATAATACTGAAAAGGAAAATTTTCCCAATGAATTCTTTAATAGTATTACTCCTTCAGGAATGCCGTGTCATAAATTAAAATTGAAAGTGGATGTAATAATCATGCTACTGAGAAATCTTAATAGTAAATGGGGTCTTTGTAATGGTACTAGATTTATTATCCAAAGATTGCGACCTAACATTATCGAAGCTGAAGTATTAACAGGATCTGCAGAAGGAGAGGTTGTTCTGATTCTAAGAATTGATTTGTCCCCATCTGACACTGGCCTCCCACTTAAATTAATTCGAAGACAGTTTCCCGTGATGCCAGCATTTGCGATGACTATTAATAAATCACAAGGACAAACTCTAGACAGAGTAAAAATATTCCTACCTGAACCCGTTTTCGTACATGGTCAGTTATATGCTGCTTTCTCTCAAGTTTGAAAGAGCGTATGATGTTAAAGTTAAAGTTGTAAATACTTCATCACAAGGGAAATTAGTCAAGCACTCTGAAAGTGTTTTCACTCTTAATGTGGTATACAGGGAGATATTAAAATAAGTTTAATCAATTTATCAGTCATTGTTTGTATCAGTGTTGCTTTTACATCATGTTTTTGTTGTTTTTATATCATGTCTTTGTGGTTGTTATATCATGTTGTGATTGTTTATTAATACATTTATGTATTATTTTCATATACATTTTACTAATTTTCTTTCATCTCTGACATTTCTTTATAGAGAAAGGGAAAATAGCAATATTAAAATATTTCCTATAATTAATTCCCTTTTAATGTGCATGAATTCTGTGCACCAGGCCACTAGTATGGAATAATTTCAAACAGCATACAATCATGCTGTGATCTTTTCCATCTTTGAACAAGACTCTCTCTCATCTCCAAGTCTCCCTACAGCTTCTACTCAACTTTTCTTTATGGGAAAATATCTCAAAAGGTTTGCCTTGTTTTTCTGTCTCTACTCCCTCATATTCCATTTTCTCTTTAATTGACTCCAGTCAAACTTTGCCCCATTCCTTTCCCCAAACTACTCTTATTAGGTCAAGATTAGCAGTGAACTGCTTGCCAAAGGCAATGGTTACTTCTCCCTTTATTTTATTCAACTTCATAGCAGCAATTGACAAAAGTGATCATTATACTTTTCCCAAAACACTTTTCTTCTTGACTTTCATGATATTCACTCCTCTGTGAAGCAAAATGTTTAAGGAATGTCAGGAGCCAACTTGTTAAAGAATTCAAATGCCCTGACTGCCAGAAAGATCTGACTTCCATCTCATGCTCCTGTGTAGTTACTATCCTATCTCAAATATCTGGGGAAGTTCCCTCCACACCCTTGCTTGATGTTATCTTATATAGTTTTTATATTCCTGTTGTTCATTTGTTTTTATTATGCATTGTCTTGGATCACTAGTGGAAGTACATGGTATTGTGCAGATAGAACACTTTGTTCATTGCATGAATTATTTCACTAATTTCTGCTGTTTTGTTCTTATATCATAGTTACAGAAGTCTTGCTGATTCTCCCAGGCCTCAATTGCCCACAGTATTTATAGGCTGACAGATCTTTAACATTGAATAGAATATATACTTTTACTCTTAAAATAAATAGATTTTAAAATGGGAGTAATGCTATACTTCACTCATGGAACTATATGTG